TATAAATATATATGAAAATTCGAAGAATTTTTATATGTAGCAAAAAAAAATCCCCGGAAATAGGTATGCCTACCTTATATATTCTCATTCTGAACCACCCACAAGGCCTCATACAAGGCATTATTGCCTCTATAATGAACTCGATGAACATTTCTTGACACATTGGTTCTTGGTATTATTATTATTATTATTGTTGTTGTTGTTAATTTTTTTTTTAAAAAAAAGAAGGAGGAAGAGATATAAAATTTTTTTTCTTCTTACGAACAATAATCAAATTTTTTTTAATGAAACAAAATTAGGAACTAAAGAGAAGTTGATTTAACAAATTTGAAAATCAATTAGAAATTGATTTAACAAATTTGAAATAACAATAATTTGTAAATCGTATGATTATAAATAATAGGAACAGAAATTATTTTTAACTTTCTATAATAACTTAGAATTTGTGAAACAAATTTCTTTAAGGAGATGGAAATGTTATAAGATAGATTTCTATTATTGTATTATTTATTAGTTATAGTTACTTTAATACTTTAAACATTTTAATGCTTTAAGTTTGTGAAACTAGTCGCTTAGTTCCTTAATGTAACTAGTTACTTAGTTTTTTAGTGTAACTAGTCACTTAGTCTTTTAGTGTAACTAGTCACTTAGTCCCTTAGTGTAACTAATCGCTTAGTCCCTTAGTGTAACTAGTTGCTTAGTTTCTTAGTGAAACCAGTCACTTAGTCTCTTAGTACAACTGGTTGCTTAGTCTCTTAGTCACTTAGCCACTTAAGTTACAGATATATAAATCTCTAAAAATTCTTCTAGGTTAAAGCAAGTTCTATATCTAACAGTTTCTAAGAAACAGACAATTCCTGTAATTTATATTCTGAATCCTTTAGGACAGGTGCCTAATGATAATTCTTCTTACAATTCTTTAATAAATGACTTTAAATATAAACTACTATGTAATTATTATCGAACTGTCTCAAAGATGGGTATAGTTTCTTGACAACATCTAATAAAAACTATACTTCCCTTTTAGACACTGCATATATCCATAAAGGATTCCTTGTACTGTGTTATTATTGTAGTATAAAAATAAGAAGGCTTCCACTTTATAACACTAGTATCACTTTGATCTAAACTATTACTTGTAGTCAGGACTAACTATTAAACTGCTATATTCTTATAAGGTTCACCTAAACCTTGATACCTATTTTTCTGATATCTTTTCTATTATTTCCTACTAATTGTAGTTAAGAACTAATAAAACTTTTCAGACTTCCAATTCAGATGACCTAATATAATATACTTTAGTATTCTTTTTCTTTGGTAATTCTAACAACCTAGTTGGTTATATGTTCTTTTATATATCTTATCATTTAGTTTATCTATTTATTTTTATTAAAGATGTTTTATAAACTTTTATCAGTTTAATAATATTGTTGAAAATTTATGCTATCTTCTTAGTCAAAATTTTCAAGTAAGCTTCTGACTTCACAGTTCTTTTGCTTTCTGTACCTAGTAGTCTTATTATGAGTTTGTATAAAAGTTTTATATAACACTAGTTAAGCATTCCTCTATGTATATATAATATTACACATCATATAAATATCTAAGCTCCTATTTGAGATGGTATAACTAAAGATTACAGATTCATTCAATCTAGCTAATTGATAAAGTCAGTTAGTATAATACAAATATAATTTTCAAAATTTATTATTTATAGAATTTGAACTCTAAATCTGCTACTTGGAGTTGATAATCTGACTATTTTACTAAGTCATTACATTCCTAATTTTATTAAATTTAAACCAATAGTTATTGAAATATTTATATAATCTATTCAAATCCTAAAAGTAAAATCAAATAACTTGCTAATTATGTAAGTATGTAATCTAAAATACTATAATATAATTATCAAGAAATAAAAATTAATATAAAATCATCAAAGACATAGATTAATTAGTAAGTTTTTAAATTATAAGTCAAGTCTTTAAATGTGAAAAAAGTTTTGTCATTCTTTTGTAACATAATCATTAATATTTAAAGATTAGTAAACATATTAATAATTATTATTAGACTTTAAATTTTAATTATCACATTGCATAATATTAGAATTATAGATTTTAAGATTTTAAATATCAGAATTTTTTAGTAAAACCAAGTAAACTAAAGCAGTAATATCATTAAGTAAATTATTTAATTAATCTTTGCTTTATAGGTATGTTTTGTTAATCAATTTTTTAACTAGTTTGTTACATAATATATGAAATATAAACTTACAACAATTAATAAATCCATAAAAATCTTTATCTTGAAGAATATATAGTATAAAGACTCTACAAACTTAATTATAAATTAATTAGAAATTATAAAAGTTTTTTTGCTAAATTTTGTTACATAAAGATATAAAATTTTGATTTTCTTTAGATTAAATAAAATAAAAAAATTTGTTAATATAAAATTAAATCTCTTCACTTGCATATATTATGCACTGTTATATCATGTTTATCATGTAAATATTTGAAGCTGTCCCTCTTTTACAACTATAGAGATATAATTTTTCTTTGTACCAACAAGGATTTTTTTTACAAATTTTGCAATATGCTGCATCATTATTATTAAGGTCTTTATTAAAAAGTAGACCATGTGATTTTTATTAACTCTGTTTTTTTTATTCAAATTATTTTTTCATTTCTTGTGATTTCTTAAAGGATTCGAATTTATAGAAGCTGTTGTTTCAGTTTTCAAGAAAGAAGTTGGTTTATTAATATCAAGGTCTGAAGAAAAATGACATTTTGTATACAGATACATCACCTGTTCACTACATACATAAAGATTACCTGATTAATGTATAATACGAGCTTAATTTTTTGTGTGAAGATGTAAGCCTAAAATTTATTGCCTTCCGAAAGTGGGTCTATATGAACTCAGTTATTGCAAAGAAATATTAATAAATATATTAAAGACCATTATAAAAGCACAACGCTCAAAAGTAACAAATTTATTAATCCATCACGAGGAAGTAAAGCCAAAGCAAATAAAATTTATTTCTTTCCAACTTTAGTTCATCACAAGAATCAATAATAGAGATTTATTAAAGGGCGTAAAACCCAAGAGCGAGTAAAATTTATTACTTCCCATATGAATATTAGTAATCACGAGGGTGTAAGCTCAAAATTAAAATTTATTGCTTTATAACTTTAGTTATCTCCAGAACTAGTAATAAATACATTTATTATAGAGGCGTAAGTCAAAAGTAAAATTCATTGCTTTCTATATGAACATTAGGTCGCCGCGAGAGACAAAGCCAAAAGTTAGTCAAATTTATTGACTTCCATATGAACTTTAGTTCTCTACGTGAACTAATACCAAGAATGGACATTAATAATTACCGATCCCGTGCATTTATATCCGGATTTAAATCAAATCCGAACAAAATCGGATTTTAATCCGAAGCCCAAAGATAGTTTATTTAATAAAAAGTCAAGTTCACATTGTATAAACTATTACCTCTTTGTTACCAATCTTCATATATGTCAACATAATTATTTTATCCAAAATTTTGATATTAATGAAGGTAGACTAAATTTTGATAATAAAATTTTACATAGCATTTGTTTTATACAATGAACCACAAGTAGATGATGCCTCTATCATGTGATATATAGCTATTATATAATTGGCCAATTAGAATTAAAGCCTACTATTGCTAACAGGAGGAACCGTCACGATTGATTCTTCACCCGGTGTGCAACATATAAATAAATTATTTTACGATACCAGATCATTCCGCTAGTACATGTTATTATTATATTCTACACCATTTTATTATAATAAAAATGGTGTGGGATTAAATCTAGCGAAATGATCTGGTATTATAAAATAATTCTTTTATATGTTTGCACACCGGGTGAAGAATCAGTCGTGTAACATCAACGGTTCCTCCTGTTACTATTGCTAATTACGATAAAGAGATGATATATATATCTATAGGGGCATGCCCCAAAAATTTGCCATGCCTCCAACAAGGCAGAAATATAATAACACAGTCTGCTGATTACATATAAGTAAAATTTTGATTTTAATTACAGAATTATATGATCAGAAATTTCACTAATAATATGCCTACATTTGTGAGTAACGATACCATACAAGGAACCTTCGCAACCATTATTTGAAGTTGAAGCACAACAAAAAGGACTTACGTTTGGTTCTAATATCTAGCTCCTTTGTTGCATGTATAAATCTACTTTAAATATCTTTATATAAAAAACAATAATACAGTTCAACTACATATCAATTACATATACAGAAACATAAGAAGCAGTTGAAGCGTAAACAATTCTCTGTTAAATTAGAACCATTTCTATTGTGCGGTTCTTCATGTATAAAAAGTAAATAAATTGATTTATAATATAAAAAAAAAAATATATATATCCAAAAATTATATGAAACATTGTAATGTGAACAAGTTTACAAAGAAACAGACCCTTTTTCAGTCTTCTTCACTCTCACTATCGACGGTTTTAAGCCATTGTACTAAAGGCTCCATTTGTTTCAAAAATACCGTCTTGCCACTATTTACAGCACCCTTTTCAAACCAATATAAAATAGCACTTTCTGAGACAACATCTTCATCATATAGAATTTGTACAATTTGACGAAAATGTTTCATCAATTTTGTATCTTCATAACAATATGTTTGAACCTTTTGTATGAGTGCAAGTTCTGTCTTCGGATTGGTAGAAAACGCGCCGAGAATAGTGGAACATTGCTAAAAAAAAGAAAATGCAGTTATTTTGTTAATAATGGACAGTATATGTATCATCAACTATTTAAAATATTGCCTACTTTAACTTGACGCAAGGCTTGTGATTCGATTTGTTCTGCACGAGAACCCCAGTCAACAGCTTGCATCATTGATTCCCAAACGACCCTCACAAAGTCTGATTCCTGCCAACTACCTTCCTTCATTTGATGTTTGAGGTATGTAATAACCTAAAAATTAAATAGTGAATATAGAATTAATATAAACAATATAAATTTAGTTTAAATGAGTGCTTTATATAAAATAAAAGCAAATTACCTCTGCAGGGGTGTTTTCAGCTTTTAACATTTCTTTAACATGATCAATGGTTTGTTCTTTCATTGAATTTTTTTGTTTTTGATTGTGATATTCAACAAGCTGTTTCATATCTTCAGCCTCAAAATAACGAGCAAAATATTCTTCATCACGTTTGTTAGGAGGAAAGAATTCCATAAGTTTGTTGTCCATTCCCGCCTTTTTGAGAGAACTACCTAAATGATCAATATTTTGTTCACTAAGATAAGCCTTGAACACCGCGGTAACAAACTGGAGTGAGAGGCCTTTGTGTAAAGAAAAATATTACATGTTATAACAAAATTCGTTGTTTGAAACAAATACGAAAAAAGTTATTCATACCTTCTTTGACAAGATGTTCTTTGAACAGAACAGTCAAAACATTAATGTTGATCAGTTGGCCAGAAACAAACAAGCCAATAGCTGTTGCAAGTTTGTTATTCTCTTCAGTACTCCATTTGTTAATGTATTGAAGTAAATTTTTGATTGTTTCCTCAAAACTTCGCTGCAAATACTTGTAGCGCCTGCCAATTAGCTTATTGAAAACATCAACATGCTTTTTGACACTTTCAATATTATCTTCTGCTGTGAAAATAGAAAATGGACTGCGTTGTGCGCCATCGTCAAGAATGGTACCGCCGGGTGCTAATTATTAATTAAATTGATTATTAGTATAAACATCTAACAACACAGTTATAAATAACAATTTTACGAACCTAGTACACCACCGGTAAGGAGAATTTCAAATAAAGTTTCACCGTATTTTCTATATTCAAGTGTATTACCAGCGTTGTCCAGTTGTTGATAAATATCGTCAAAGTCTCCAGGCTGAGCGTTAGAAAGTGTTTTTAAAATACCTTCTCTAAAAACTGAGATGATTAAATTTTTAGAAAATTATTTTCACTATAGACGAATCAATCACAAGTCAAATTAAGGCAGAATTTTTACCAGTAGGTTCGTACTTTGCCTGAGCTTTTTGCAGGCTCTTATAAAAAAAGAAAAAAGAATTAACACCCAGATGGAATATAAGTTTTAATCAACCAATAAAGCTGATGACAAACCTTTCTTGTTTTGATTTTAACACCATGCAAAGCAGGTAAACTTTTCGAGCTTCCGTTATGTGTCGCACTCATTAAAAAGTCAGCAAGTTTTTTGTAGTTTATAAGTTGTTTATTTGAATTAAGAAAATGAATACGAAGTAGGCGCTTTTAAATTATCGTTGTGTGCACCCTAATTTGAGTATACTTGTCAAAAAACCATGTGATTCTAAATCATCACATGAAAATAATATTAGAATTCATGTAATATATAGGTTAGAATATTGTGATGATTTAGCATCACAGCTTTGCCTCAAATATGAGATGATATATTCTTTAACTGTTTAATGTATATTGATATCTGCACCTCTGCACCTGAACTAATTTGGAATAGTGGGAATCTATTTTTACTATTTTTTTTATAATATTACAAAAATAAAAAACAAATCAAAAATGATTAAATGTCTTTTACACGGATCAGCCCGACGAATTAAATCAAACTGTCCGCAGGATCCTTCTCTAACTTCAAACTACGTAGCACCAACTTTAATTAAGATCTCTCCGCTTTTTATTGAGAGCTCTACAGTAATATATATATTTTTCTTTTTAAAGTGTTCTAGGGTTTATTAGGCAGTATGGGACGGCAAAAAATCATTTGATATTTTTTTTTAAAAGCGTCAAATTTTAAAATTAATTTTAAAATTACATAATCAACAAGAATACAAAACATAAGTGATATATTTTTATAAAGAAAAAATTAGATCTCACAAGAATGTTCTTAAATAAAAGAGCATTTCTACGTTTTATGAGAATATTGAGAAGATCAGTCAAATTCTCTACACTCATGACAACGTTATTGGCCTCAAATGCGCGATGGATACATCATCTTTAATTTCAGCGAATAAAATAAATAAATTAAGATCTTGTCTCCTGAAAAATAAATAAAAATGATAAAACTTATGCTTACGATTCGAACACTCGCACCAAAGCTCTTTGGAGGTAGATTATTTCTGAATTTGGCTTTCACAACACCGCCGTTACCGTGAGGCCTAAATATTAAACGCTTCAAACAATTAATAACAATGGATGAGAATAAATAAAATGAAAATAAATAATAAGAAAATACCTAGTTACATGACCCCAAATGACGCGAATCTTACTTCCGTTTTTCTATATATACTCTTATGTTTGAAATCATATAATAATTCTGGCTACAAATTACATTTATATTCAAATATACCTCACGCTTAGCACGATATACATAAGCTACATGCTTTCCTAGATAGTATTGCGTATCTTCTTTAGTCAAAACACCTTCAATTCTGATTAACGTCGTATTTGGTGATTGATTGCGTTTCGAACGCTTGAAACCGAGAACACGGCCTTTGGAGTAAAGACTGAAATAACAATCAATTCTGAATCTTTATGTTCTCCAATATATCTTAAGATGATACTTACCGAACTGGTTGGCCACCCATTACAAAAAAAATATATATATAAAAGGGAGAGAAAAATTTTTTTTAATTAATCAGATAATCTGCAGCGGATTTTGGGATTTTGGTGATTTTTACGAATAAAATCTACCAATCAGATAAATAAATTGTGATTATTTCGAATTTGTCTTACGTTTAGTGATTGATGCTAAGAAAAATTTTTGTACAACGGATAAAATTTTCTACTCGGGTATATCTGTCGGTCACCGGTTAACCGGCAGGCTTTATTTGTCAATTAACCGGGTAGAGTTTTTTTGACCAAGTGTACAATTTTAACTTTAATCGTGAGGATATTCTAGTAAAAACGAAGTGCTGTGTCATGTGACTTCTGAAGCATTCAATCAATACATTCCGACTAGAGTTGCTGGTGAAACTAATGAAACTCTTGGTGAATTGTGGTGAAATTTAATAATTTCGGTCGATCTCTGAATTTTGGTTGCGCAACTAATCTATCTTAAATATAAATCGGCATCAAATACTATATATTAATAGTATTGCCTCCTTAGATTGGTATGTTAATGAGTCCTTTAGGACCAATTTGGAAATGGTGTCGTGGGAGCGGAAAGAGAACATCTTTTCAAAGACCTGTAAGACTCGGTCCTTAAGTCATATGAAAATATTAAATTGATTGGACGAACTTATTCTGAGGAATCCGATTCAGGATCTAAAATGTATTATGATTTAAGGACTTGAATCCAAGAAGTCCTAGGACCGACTCGTAATTTAGCATCCCTACCCTTAGAATAGTACCATAATATCCTCCTAGTATAGTAACCGGGTATAAATAAATATACCGGATGTATCGAAAGTTCTTGTACATGGCCCCTTTTTTTAAATAACTTATATAGAGATCACGATGATTATCATTATGATAAAGTCACTTAAAAAAGGGACTGTGTACAAGGACTTTTTATACATTCGGTATTATAATATCTGAGGGTATTACTCTGTAATATTTCAGCCTGTAAAATCAAAATCCAATATAGAGTAAGTTATGACTGTTAATTCTGAAAAACGAAATATTAAAAACATGTGGTGGTCAAAAAAAAAATCATGGGTTTGGCAGTACTTTGATTCGATCTAATAAAGATGACAAAGAATCCATGCAGCTCTTGCAGCAAGCACACAAAGTAAATCCTTATTTTCACATATAGGAAATGTTATACGTACTGTAAATGTGAAGAGAACATCATTGAATCCAAAGTTATTTAGCATAATGATATCTTTAAAACATAATACGTATAAAGACAAATAATTAATTATTCCTTATATTCAAAGATTAATATATTATTGTTTTTATGTATAAATGCAAATAAACGAATTAACGAACTAAACGAATTATAAGTTACGTAAATTGTATATTAAATAACTTATTACAATTGATTTATTTAATATTGCACTAGATATTTTCTAAAAATCTTGAGTTTGTGACCATACCTTCTTTTCATAGCTTTTATATCTTTTCATACAATGTTGTTTACAACAAAAGTACTAATCTGTTCAATAATTTCCAAATTACATCATCTAAACTTCCGGTTTGTCTAACTATTCTCACTGATATCTGACAAATAACATTGTTTCAAAAATTTTGAAATATCTTCTTCCGATTTAATTAATGGCAGGTTTTTTAATATCATTGATACTTTAATAATGAGAAATAGAAGGTCTTGATGAGAATAAAAATATATCACATATACAAGAGTTACTATATAATAAATTTATTTTGACAACTCAAAATTTACAGAATAGCTAGTTTAGTATAAACATAAAGAAGCCAATATCAAAAAAAATTGACATAATTAAAGCAGGATTTTTATTAAAAGTAAGCAAATATGTTTTAACAACATTAATTAATCATATTTATAACATATTGTTACAGAATTGTAGCTTTCTTAGTACAATACAATCAAGTAACAAGGTCACCTAATATAGAGATTGATTATTGCAATTATTTATATAGTAGTTTACTTTACTTTATAGTTGTTTTTTTTTTTTTAAGCAGTCATGCTAGTGCTTTATTAAGATTTTTGAAATTACTATTGCAATTATATAAATGTACTGTTACAAAGTAGATTTTAGTATAGTATATTATATAGTAGTATTAGTAATTATATATATTCATTATTGTGTTTGATATTATATTTATTATTAGTCATTAGTTAGTCAATAGTTATATTATATAGTAGATAGATAAAAGGATCTTAATTGGCTATTAGAAATGTGGTACAGCCACATGACACTGAGTAACATCTGTGATGTTACTATTGTCTTACAAATCCCAAGTACCTTTGTATAAGTTTCATGTATCCTAGTATTAAATTACTGTATCAAATATCATAGCACAAGAATCTCAAATATCACCGACACGAACCCAAGTGTTCTCACATGAATCCCAAGTATCTCTACACAAATCCCAAGTACCTTTGTACGGATCTAAGTGCTTAAACACAAGTCTTAAGTATTTTAAGCACAAATGACAAATGATATAAACAATATTTCCAATTGTCTCTGTACAGTCCCTACTACCTCAAACACAGTATCATTTAATGTTGTTTAAACCTCTACTATCCCAACTACAATGATATCTAATGTTGTTCAAATCCTATTATTCTAAGTACAGTATCAAGTAATGTTGCTCGAATTCCTACTATTTTCACTAGATAAAAAGATATATAAAGAGTAGCTTTTACACTTTTCTATCAATTCTAAGTTCCTATACTTTAATCTAGACCCTTCTATCTTTATCTTTAACTTATAAAAGTGATATTTCCTCTTTAGAGTAATTTTTATAGACAAGGTTGTCACTGTGTCTTTATTTAATAAAAGTTAATCTATATACTGTTACTACCTCAAACCATTTGCCTGCTGTTATGTAGTAAAGTAAACTACTACACCTTCATCTCATATATATTTGTAATAGTCAATTACTATACCAGGTGACTTTGTTACTTAGTTGTATTATACTAAAAAGACTACAACTCTGTAACATTTTGGTGTCTTCTGGTGAAAATTATAAAAATTATTCCAGAAAAGGAACAGAAACCTCTTTCAAGGATACTATTCCAAAAAGTAATTCTTTTTCTAAAAAGGATTTTATTTTAAAAGCAGCAATTATAAAAAAGTATTTTGAAATTTTGGAATTATTATTTTAGATATACCTTTACTAATTCAAATTGAATTGAATTATTTTGTATTTTGCATTTGTATTTTGTATTTGGAATTGAAGAAGTTTATGTTTTTACATTCTATCTTTGAATTTTTGATTTTTGAAATAATCTTGATTTTGATTTTTGATTTTGATTTTTGATTTTATATTACTTATCGATCAATAAATATATTTTGAATTGTTTAAACTTTGATTAATTACTTGAATTCTTTACTTGCTAGTACATTATTTTAGATTTATTCTTTCAATTTTTATTATTTTATTTTATTATTTTATTACTTATTAGTACTAACTCTTCTTGAAGAAATTTATTTTATAGGAAATTTTCTTACTCGATATTATTTAGAAAATATTCGAAAACACCAACAGATTTATAGTGAAAACCCCTCTCTTGCTACAACTATATTGTAAACCCTTGCAATTGATTTATCTTGCCCACAGTATTATCTACCTCCTACCCTTTATAGATGCTTTGCTGCATTTTGGATTTGGTATTTTATAGGCTACCAAGCTATTTTTTTTAGTAAAGTTAATCATTCCAACTTTTTAAGATTAGCTACTACTAGATGCTTAGCTGCCTGAGTTGTAGCTAGAAACATTATTTTTAGTTGTCATTATCAAAATCAGATAACTAACCCTCGAGATATTGTACAAACCATCTTTTAAGAATATACTTCTCATTATTCAGTACTATCAATTACTGCTGACCAAAGAACTTCATTCAATATTTTTATTAATGATTCAGTTAGAGTCCAACAATATATTGAAGCTTTACAAGCTGCTATATTAGAATTAGTACAAGGTTCTAAGGAAGAAACTAGTGCATCTACTTCTCAACAATTATCACAAGAAAATGTTATTACTGTAGAAGAATCTGCTACAACTTCTACTTATCTCATTACTACTGTTGTTACTCTTACTTGAACTCCAATACCTATTGTAGATCCTAGCTCTTTAGTACCATATAGTGAAGATCAGACCAGTAGACATTATACTTATTATTAACCAAATAATCCACCAATAATAAAAAAAGTATCTTCTCTTTTTATTCAACTAGAAGTTTTACAAGAAAGAGAAATTATCTGAGAACCCTTTTATACCCCAACTTGACTCTCATATCTCTTTCAATTTTCAACTTTAACTACACCAAGACTAGTTAATAGATTAACTAGATTTGTAACCAAAGGATTTAATCTTCAGTTATCTCATCCTGATATTAAATAAAGCCCAGAAGAAACTTTATCTACAACAACTAAAAATCTCATTATAATTGAGAAAGACACTTCTTCAACTTTTAACTTACCAGAAGCAACTAATTATTCTGAAATTTTAACTATCCAACCTATTATTGAAATACCATCTAATTATTACTGACCTATTGATCTTAAAAACTTTGTCCAAGATCTAGAAACTCATACTCAAGAGAACACAACTTTAATCTTAATCTATTAACAAAACAAGACTACTCTGAAGAAACAGAAATTTTAGAACAACCTCTATTAGAAGAAGAAGAACCAGAAAGCTCAAACAAAACTATTACTGATGAACTTGACTCTAAAGACAAAAGAGTCATGAACAATGCTGTTGCTGCGATGAATAGACTAGTAGACACTCTTGGAATTGTAGAGAAGTCATTTTTTAAAATTATATCATTTAAAGGTAATGGAACTAAAGACTCAGTCGACTAGATTAATGAATTTGAATGAGCTGCTATTGCCAATAGATGGTCTAAAGCTAAAAAATTTGCAATTGCTTAAGCATATATAAAGGATAATGCAGAAAATTGGCTCAAAGAACTTGGAAATGACCATTTTCAGTT